GATTATAATGGAAAATGATTATGATGATGTGGAATGATAATAGGGTTGATGGCGATGGAGGATGAAGATGATCAAAACTGTGATCGATAATGATTATGATGGTTTATAATGATGGAAGGTTATGTTAATGATAATTGGGATAGCAAAGGACGTGAACGATAAATTATGGCAATGTTAATGTTAATGTGATCGATAATGATTATGATGGTTTATAATGATGGAAGGTTATGTTAATGATAATTGGGATAGCAAAGGACGTGAACGATAATTATGGCAATGTTAATAATGTTACAGCAAATGAACATCTTGTAGGTGTCAATTTATTTACAATACAAACATATATATAGACCTATATATCTAAGCACATGCTCGAAATGTCTCGTTAAAAGGCATGAGTGAAGTATTATACAGATATTGCCTGCTTAGAGGTGTAATATAACATTTGATATCCCCGAGGGAATTATATTTTTTTCGAGGGAATATATTTTCCCGAAGCGCGTAACGCTGAGGGAAAATATAGTCCTGAGAAAAAATATAATTCCCAAGGGGATATCAAATGTTATTATTACACCGATAGAAAAGGCGATATCTGTTATATTACATAGCCAAAAATAGATGCAAATAATTAACTGAACACATTACTTAATTAAAATATTAAGAACTTTTATTTAACTTTTACACAATATCTGTTATATATTACATAGCCTATGTAGAGTGATTCTGGTTTTAAACTGCTCAGAATTAAGTGCCATGTTTATGTTAAATATAATAGAAGGAAATGACCAAAAACAATTATCATAACCTGTAACTCATCATATCTGTAAAAATTAAATTTTCTCAGCAACCATTTAAATGTTTGATTCATAATATCTCATTTAGTCTGGACAAAAATACTAGGCAAAATATTTATCAGTACTAAATTCAAACAAGGCTAACAATTTTCAACAGATAAACGGCTAGCATAGTTACTTTATACCTTGGCTGTTTAAGAATTACTGTATAAAATACCATTTAATATTTTCTTATATTACATAGCCAAAATACGAGTACGTGATTGGTCGAAATTGCATCACGTGACTAGCGCTACGAGGATCGGAAACGTTAATATGAAATTAGTTTTTCTCATGGCAACAAAAGTACATAAACAACAAAGAAACATACGATCAATGATGATTAATTTTACATCACATGTACAGTATTATTTTGATCTCTATGCTTGCCGAAAATCGTTAATAAGAGATCATGAGAAATTTGTTGACGCTTTATTTTGCCTGGTGATGTGATGATGATGAATTTTACTACTGTATATTAAACATAAACATGGCAATTAATTCTGAGTAGTTTAAAACCAGAACCACTCATTTGCGATTACAAACTGAGACCAGGAAGTAAAATATTTGTACATTCATAGTTTACAAAGAGATGCATAAATCCAGTTTTGCTTCCCTAATAATCTGTTCATTAACATTAATTAAAGTGTGTGTCTGACCATGGAGTTATAAAATGATTATAACTCCATGGCCTGACTAACCCAATTTTTTAAATTCACGTATTACTATCATTTCAATTCTATTTCTTTAATGTTACAAATGCCATCAATGGGCCAATATCCGCACAATAAAAAAGACATGACAAGACAAGTTGAAAACACTCTTAACAGAGCATAGTAATAATTATTTATGCATTATAGGGTAGGGACGTCACTACGCTAAGGTCTTAATGGCCGCATAAGCCAACCTAATCAAACTATGCATCCCGGGGTAGGGACGTTACTCCACTAAGTTACTAGTGACCACCCGCATACACTCCACCAAATATTGACCAAAAGGTCTTTACATTTAAGGACTTCTCTGATAGCATTTTTCTTAGAATAAGAAAGATGGAGATGAACAGAAGACGCGAGCGAATTCGAGTGAGGTAGAGTTGAATGCAAGAACCGAGTAGTGTGTCCACGGAAGAGAAGAAAAGCAGAGTAACGGTTGTGGCGAAGGGTCATTTACATAGAACGGGCAGGTGGGAGAAAAAAACTGAAGAGGGTGGCCAGGAGATCAAATGATGTCATAACAGAGGGCTTTAAGCAGGAAGTATTGTTGTCGTTGAATGAAAGGAATAATTTAAAAATAAGAAAAGACAATTGGATAAGTATGTAGCGTGATCAGAGAGAAGTCGAGCAACGTAAAGTTCAAGACGTTTAATTTGAGTGATTTCACATTTAGAAAGGAGACCAATATACAACAACAGCACTCAGTAGCAGGTTTATGTATAATTTATATATAAAAGCCATAGTAACGGAATCCAGATTTGTAGATGGAAGAAATTTGTGAGTTCCTTTTTAGGTTATCTGAGATTAAAATGCCATGGTATTTCAAACTGTGAACTTCTTCAACAATTGTGCCATGGAGAAAAAGTTAGGGAAATTAGCTGGATTTCTACGAAAGTCTATAGGCCTATTCATAATTCTACATAGGGGCGAAGGACAAACCATTGCTGTGAGACCAAGATTCCAGGAGTGAGGCAATATGTGGTACCGGTAATTGGTCCGAAGATACATCCTTAGAACATAACATAACGATTTCATCGGCATAAAGTGAAAATGGGCAACCAAAGTTGCTGGCAATGTCATTGATAAAACATAAAAAATAAAAAGAATAGATCCAAGTTTAGTGCCTTGAATGACACTACTTTTGATAGGAAATTTGCTTGAAATGATTCCATTAAATGAAGTGCATTGAGGTCTATCATAGAGACAATTGCCAATCCAAGAAACAAGAGTGTGGCGAATACGAAAATAATTATTAGACAACTTAAATAAAAACAATTCATGAGGAACAGAATCAAAAGCACACCGGATATCAAGAAACCTATTAGTAATTTTCCAAAACACTTTTATATCCCGTTTATTCTGCTTTCTTTGCTTACTTAGATGGAATAGACAATAACTGGAGTTGTGTCAGGAGAATCAAGTATAGGTGTAATTTTGCCCTACCTGAGTAGGAGATATATATACGTAGGAAAATGTACTGAATATTCAGTACGTGTGAAAATTGCAAAAAAAAATTCGCAATTTGTACTCGGGTGGAATTCGAACGCACAATCTCCAGATCTTTAGCCTGGCATCATACCTCTCAGTAGACCACCGAGATTACGCCTGATGGTCAGGGTTGAATTCGAGTCCAAGTAAGCAGCGGGTACTACGATGTTGATAGTAATTGTTACTGTCGTGATGGAATAGAAAAAAATCGCAAGTTGTTCCCGAGAACAACTTGCGATTATTTTCAGCGTTGTTTTCACACATACAGACACATGCACACAGAGTATTCAGGTAGGGGAAAATTACACCTATAATTATTGTTATAGTTATTAATAATATTAATAATGATGATAATGATTTTAATAATAATACTATTATTAAAGTCACCCTGACCATACATACATATACATACATATACAGTATATATACATAATTATTGCTATACAGTAGTTTGACATTTAAATTTTACTTTAATGTTCATTCAACTACACTTAACAATGAACCGCTGTTTCCTATTAATGATATTGCCTTGTTTTATTCAAAATGTTTCAATTATTGCTGTTCTCTAATTAAAGGTGATCGAATGAGGACCAGGATCAGTAAATTTGACGTGTACAAATTACAACCCCGGACTGTAATGGACCTCCAAATTGGACAATAGTCGGATGTATTAGGTGTACTGTTAAATGCCACACCTCTACACAAATGTATAGCTGTCTTATACAAAAAGAACCAATAATGAATAATTTGTACCCAGCTTTTATATTGCACATACACCTATGCTTTGGATCATACACTTATAAAATAAAATTAAAATCTGAAAATTAATTAACAGTAGACATGCTGTACAAGATTGTAGAAATACCATGTTAGTCAGCCTGTAGTACATACAGATAGAAAATACAGATAGTATACTTTATTGACTGACTCAAATTATTTTACAAAAGCTTTCACCATCAGTCTATGCATTAGGTGTTTTGAAATTAGAGTAAAAGAACACTCTTTTCAAGAAAGCCACTTGAGAAAATTCAAGTGTTCCCTGAACAATAGCTACATAGTGTAAATGGAAAATATAGTATGAGCATAGGTACACGGCATGCTGTGACCATATCACGCACCGTACATATATTTGCTCCTTCGACAAGGTGAACTTTTCTGGCAGCAGTGGTGTCCCTGCATCTTTTTCCAGATACACATCAGCCAGTTTGCTGTTGTCACTATCACCCTAGTTTAAAAAAAAAAATGACACAGCTATAATACTATAAATGCATTTTTAAATTTGCAACTAAACATAGTACGAATAAAATGCAAATTAATATTTATGTCATGAAAATATCAGAGACTGCTATCATTTGATATCCTATGAGTATAATTACACATAGTGTGGCTCAACTTTTGGGACAAGTAGTGACTGAATGGGCTCCCTATGGTAGTGCACTAAACAGTTTGTGTGCCTCAATCACTTCTGGGATCAGTGGTGGGTGAATGGGCTACTGATGGCAGCACACCAACAATTTCGAACCTGTGGTGGCCGAGGGGCTATTTATGACAGTGCACCAGTAATATTTTTGTGACATGCTAACAATGACCTAAGAATTTAAGGTGTGGAAAAGAACATTTAGAAACAAATAATTGCACAAACTGCCAGGATATATCAACAAGTCTATCGGTTGTGGGATCAGGGGACGCAGCATGTCTTAACCATGAGGTATGGTAGTTAAAATTAGTATTTTTGTTATTTATTTAGGCACAAGGGCCATGGATTGCCAATTAGTGAATACATCAGTCTTTTAAAGTGACAACCGCTTTTAAACTTAGACTCCGGAGGAAAAAAAAGTTGTTTATGTGTTGTAGAACTGATTTTAAAAACACCGCTTTTAAACTTAGACTCCGGAGGGAAAAAAAGTTGTTGATGTGTTGTAGAACTGATTTTAAAAACTGGGGGGAAAAAGGTGTAAAAAAGGCGGTTATGCCCTTTTTTCCCCAGTAAAATATTCAAAAATCTGTATTTCTTTCACCGTTCCCCAGTTTTAGGTCAAACTACTTTTTTCTGTCTTAGAAAAATCAGTTCTACAACATATCAAAATTTCTTTTTTTCCCGAAGCCCGTTTAAAAGGCAAACATAAACACAAGGTGCTTGTGATGGGGCTAAGGAAGTGGATGGTAATGAGAAAAAAATTTTGCTCTGGACCATTTATATTTTGGCACAGGGATTTGGATGTGAAATGTTCAGGGAATTGAACATTTTTCAATTACAGCATTAATCATTTTTCAATCATAAATTACCTTGTACATGAAAACTTGATTATCTTCTTTTTAACATATAGGGGGAATCGGCCAAATAGCAGCCTTTGCTTCAGTATCTGCAATTTTACAATTAAGCAATACAAACTTAATACGTTATTTATTATAATGTATTTGATGCATTAATGATAGGACATATTATAAAGTTAACTAATTAACTACGTTCTGCAAATTAAAATTTAGATGAAATCAACATGGGTCCATTTTGATTGATTCCTTCTTGAAATGGATCAAGAGAACAACAAATTTTGCCCTGAAAATGAGTTGAGACTACAAAGGCATCAGAAATCAGTTACGTCTGAAAATATTAGATCAACATGGGTCCATTTTGATTGATTCCTTCTTGAAATGGATCAAGAGAACTACAGATTTTGCCCTGAAAATGAGTTGAGACTACAAAGGCATCAAAAAGCAGTTACGTCTGAAAATATTAGAGCAATAAAGCCCCATGGACCCCTGATACCTGACAGGCAAGGTCGTTAACCTCCCCACCCTCTCCTCCCCCAAACAACACTCATGTTCAAAAAATTGTCTATACTCTTGGACTGTACTTTTGAATGCTGATCACTTCGGCCCAAATCCAACGGCCCAAACCAATTCGGCCCAAACCAACACGGACCAAAACTAACTCGGCCCAGACGACACTTCGCCCCAAAACCAACACTGCCCCAAATCAACTCGGAACAAAATCAACTTGGCCCAGGAGACAAATATGGCCCTAAATAAATAAATAGTTCTATCCGAGGGTAGAATTCAATTGAATTGAAAATTTACACAATTGTGATTTATTCAAGATGGTAGGTTAAAATAGTTGGGGGCTCCCTTTGTTGTGACTTTTGTCAGTTTTTGTAAGGTGCTAAGTTCATCGAAAAACATATTGGGTGTTGCCAATCTGAAATAAAATAAAAATAAATAATAAGAATAGTTATACTAAAAAAATAATATCAGACCTATAAATAATATCAATAATTATAATTCTGTTGCATGGCTTTCCTCGTGTTTCTACAGCAGTTGTTATTTAATTGTAAAAATCAATAAAGTACAATGCAAGTCTATATATAGAACTTGGTTGGAAATTGTAACATATCATTTTAATATGACTACTTGAGGAGAACGAACAAGGCGTATCACCAAGGAACAGGGTTATTTTACCTTTACAAATTTACTTTTCCTATGATCTATTTTGTCCTTCTTGTTAACACGTTTAATAAATTGTATCCTAATTCAATCAAGTTAAGAAGAATAATAACTTCTAGCAAGTTAAACAAGGTATTAGATTTAGATTTTACCACAAAATTGATGCCAAATTGCGATTTTTTTTTTCGCAGTTGTTTTCACACATACTGAATATTCAGTACATTTTTATGTCAGGTAGGGGAAAATTACACCTATAATTATTGTTATAGTTATTAATAATATTAATAATGATAATGATTTTAATAATAATAATATTATTAAAGTCACTCTGACCATATGTCACAGTTAATTATATTTTAATTGGGGTTTTTTACTTAAGTTCTGCGAACTTATATTAAACTCCATGCACACTTGCATCATCATCTAACGTAATTAATGTAATTTAAGCATTTTCTTTAGTTAATCAACTTATAGCCTAATCATTAGGCAATATTTTACATTAAATTTTAAACATGTTTTCTTAATATGTTGCACTCTTATACTCTAATCCTTTATATTATCATGTATTATCACATCAGATGGTGTAATGCATACTCCAGGTGCCGGGGTGGGCACGATAGTGTGGGGATTCGGTGTTTCGGCGCCGCTTGTATCGTCATCAGGAATTGATTGGTGTTGGGATGCTGGGTCCCTGGGTGGTGGCGTGCGTTTTGATGCTTGGAATGTTTATTATGCTATCTTATCTGAGATTCAGTGGAACGTTTGGTTTTATTATATTATCTTGTAATATTGTTTGCATATACCTTATACTGTTTTGCCTAATTTTGTAATTTTGTATAATGATTAATTAGATTTATTGATTGTTATGTATATGCATGTGTGGAAAAAATCTAATAAACAAACAAACAAGGGAAAGTATCGAGTACAAAGTTTAGCGTCACTGTATTTAAATAGCAGATGAAAAATATAATTAAAAGAATCAGATGTAGATCGTTGAAAACGAAAACCAAACTGAAAGTTTGAAAGATTTAGACTGCACAACAGTATCCAGTCCTTCAAGGAGTTTGCATAGGAGAAGTGACAGACACATGGTGATAATTGGTGATCCGCTTCTTGAGCGGATCACCTCTTGTTCTCTTTCATATATTTGACTTCTTTTTACATTTTGATGACATCATCATGGTCAAAAAAATTGTTTTTTCTGACACCCACATCTTTCTTTCCTCAAAACTTTGATGAGCCCATATCATCTTAACCATTCGTCATTTCTGAATCATATTAAGTAAGCATAATCTTCAGGTCAATGTTGAATGTCAGGTACATTAATTTTCGTTCGCGCGACTTTACATGCGCGTACGTCAACATTTATATATGCATAAAACCATGAATATTTTTAATCAGTTATAGCTCCTTAGGATGAAAGGTGACCCCCAATTTCTATTACATACTCTAAAAGCACATGAGTTGTAGATACGATTTTATAGATCATATTGGCTGATCGGACATTGTGACGTCATCATATTGGCATCTGAATTCAAAGAAAGTGAATTATAGCTATGACCACATTTTTGAAAATACGCATTTGAACTTATCTCGCTTATCCTTGATCGATCATCTTCCAACTTTGAGTATGTTATAGCTGAGACAATTCTTCTTTCATATATTTGATTTCTTTTTACATTTTGATGACGTCATCATGGTAAAAAAAATGTGTTTTTTTTTCTGACCCCCCACATCTTTCTTTCCTCAAAACGTTGATGAACCCATATCATCTTAACCATTCGACATTTCTGAATCATATTAAGTGAGCATAATCTTCAGGTCAAGGTTGAATGTCAGGTACCTTAATTTTCCGTTCGCGCGAATTAACGTGCGCGTACACGTGCGTCAACAATTACGTATACTTAAAATTATAACTACTTTTAAACAGTTACCGGTATAGCTCCTTAGGATGAAAGGTAACCCCTAATTTTTATTACATATTCTGAAAGCACATGAATTATAGATATGATTTTATAGATCATTTTGGCTGATCGGACATTGTGACGTCATCATATTGATATCTAATTTTAAAAAAACTGAAATTTTATTTATGACGAATTTATTCTACTTATTTGAACATATCTTGCTTATTCTTGATCGACTGTCTTCCACCTAGTAATAATGGAGGCTACATTGAATAAGGTGGATATCTGATTGATAGGGAGGTACATTTAAAAGTCTGGGAACTACAGTCTGGTGTAGAGGTTCTTAAACTTAGTTTGGGGGATTCCAGAGAAAGCAGAAGGGGCAAGCTGTAGAACTTTCATGAAAGACTTTAAAAAATGGCTTCAACATGAGTGTTGACATAGAGCGTGCCCATAGGATGGGAAAACAAGGGTCAAACCCTAGGTCAGTTATCATTAAATTTTTAGTTATGTGGATAGAGAAAGAATTTTAAAAAATGCCCCGAAGATATTGAAACAGAAAAAATACAAAGGAAAGTTTATCACAGTGTCGGATGACGTGTCCACAAAAGTCAGGAAAGAGAGAAAAGAGCTAGTAAGGGAGAAGGTAAGATTAAGACACGAAGGTAAATTTGCGATGATACCCTGGTTGGTTCAGGCTGCTCTTGTACTGTAACTAAGGATGCAGAGGGTAGATTTGTTAAAAAGACACTAAGGGATTTG